AAAGAAATTTAAAAAAATTAAAAAAATTCTTAAATAAAAAATATTTAAATTTACAATAAAAATAAAATAATTTTATAAAGATAATTAAAAATAAAATAAAGAAATATAATTTTAAAAATTCAGAAAAGAAAACTAATAAAGATAAGAAACTTAAAAAGTAACAATTTTTTTTTAATGAAGATTAAAAATAAAAAATTAAATTCTTTAACATGTTTTTGTACGAACATACAGAAATTCACATATATACACACATGTTGCTTTTAAAAGTATGAAATAAAACAAGCAAAAATAAAAATTAGAAATTAAATCTTAAATAAAAATATTTTAAAGGCAAAAAAGAGTTTTTTAAATTGAAAGCTTAAAAAAGATTCAAATAATATAATATTAATTATAAAAAATTAATAAATCATTAATAAACGTTATGGACGCGTATATAATAGAATAAATAGAGAAAAGAAAGGTGAGACAAAAAGCATGCATGCAACAAAAGATAAAGGTGTAAAAAAATACTTTTCTATTTATGCTACAGTTAATTTAAAATTATAAAAAAGTAGTCGGGAGACGCCATATCTAACGTATTATTTCTTAAACATATTTTTTGTTATAAAATTTCCTGTATTTATTATATTTGACAGTTGTAGTTTTATACTTATATTAAACATTTGATATGGCTATATTAAACATTTGATATGGCGTCTATCTAATCTTTGATATGGCGTTATGTATAGATACTGTTGTCAAATTGTATTCTTAAAAGTAAAAATAAGAATATAAATATACAAAAATAGAAAAACGGAATAGTTGAAGCAAATGGTAAATATTTTGTCTTAAGCATACATGTCAAAAATACATTAAAATTCTAGTTAAATTTTAAAAATATTCCAGTAAGTAATAAACAAACAGTAAGTAAATAACAAAAGAAATTAATAATAATGTCCATTTAGTAAGATCAGAGAGAAACCTGAGAATGGTCATTCCGGCCTTTTTCATATACCTAATCTCGTAAGAGTAAATTGCACGATTTTGTGATTCTCTTCCATGATATTACGTTGGTTAAACAAGAGCGAACAATCAAAGTTTGATTGTTTGTCCTTGTTTAGCCAACATAATAATAGCATCAGAATGGAAGAGAAGGAAGAGAATCACAAAATCGTGCAAATTACTCTTACGAGGTTAGGTATACGAAAAAGACTGGGATGACCACTCTCAAGGCCGGTCATAGTCAATTCTTATATTTAAGACCATCTTAAGTTCAGTCTTGAGATGTCATGAATCAATCAGAGGGCCGTATTAATGTCTTAAGATATTACTTAAGACGATCATGAAAGAAGCGACTATGAATACCGGTTTCAGATTTTTTTCTGATCAAATATAATATTTTTTCTAATATATTTGAAGATAGATTAAATGCTTACTACTGAAGGGGATACTTTAGAAATCTAAAATTCAAATAATTTTTAAAAAAAATCACTCATTACAGATATTTCGCTCCATTACAGATAAAGAAAATCGCTTATTACAGATATTTCGATACATATAAGTACCGTTAACAGACTATTACTTTTCTTGGTCACACTGCTGTATCAATGCAACATTGTCATATGTTGTCTCATGTACTGCCATTTATTGCCATCTATTGTGCACAATATTGCCAAGTACAGGGTCCGGCAAAATGATCTCCCACATTTTAATCTTTAATAAAAACGCCATTGTAAATGCTATTTAGATTTTATTTTTATTAACTGAAAATTTATGCTATGCCATTTGTTTTTATTGAGTTTTGAAAATTACAGAGTCCAAATGGCGACCATTTTTTTCGATACACATTCGAAGCTGATTTCTAAAAGTTTCCATCACTCGAGCAATAATTTGAGGCGATATTCCTGTAATTTCTTGGCGTATTGCTGCTTTCAATTTGTCAATGGTTCGGGGGTAGTGTTGAAAAACCTTCGCTTTCAGGTAGCCCCAAAGGAAAAAGTCGCATGGGGCAAGATCGGGTGAACGCGCAGGCCACCCAACGTCTCCACGTAACGAGATTACGCGTCCTGGAAACATTTCCCTTAAAACGTTCTTTGCGTCGTAATCACAGATTCGTTACTTTTCATAAATGTTTCGATAACGAAGGCACGATGCTCGCCCGTCCAATTCATGACGATAACTGAAATGGCAAGGCGCGACCAACCGACTACGCTAAGCTCCCCCTCTCTTCAGTAGTTCGGGGACAGTGGCGGTGCAAAATGTGGGAGATCATTTTGCCGGACCCTGTATTATTAATGTATTGCTATGCATTGCTACGTATTGCTAGCATATTGCTAGTATTGCTAGTATTGCTAGCATTATCTGTTTTATTACTATATTGCCGCAATATATTTCTGAAGAAATGTACACTGACTCCCATAGTGGTTGATCCCTCACTCACGACCAAAAAGGTGGATAATTTCATGGATCGATGATTGTGCTTCCCCATGGGTTCATGCACAAATGACATAATTTTTGTCAGAATCTCAGCAATCGAGAAGATATATTTACATATTGGCAATATCTAGATGTATTTGGGATATAATTTGAGTTTTACTAATTTTATTTGAATGATGGCTAAAACCGATAGCCGAAACGTTCAAATTTTATTTAATTTTTGTACCATCCATTAAATGATATTTAAGAATATTATTTTTTGCACTTCTTACGCTGACTCCTCTTAATTTTATTATTTTAATAATATAAGAATTCAGGCAAGAGAGTTCGGTACTTAGTGCACAAACATTGATTAAATGTATAGATAAGTTATATTTGATTTGCTTTATATTCATATATTTCGACCAATACTTATATTCATCATCAGCGAAATCAACAAAGAATAAAAGAGGATATAGAAAAAGAATAAAAGAGTTTGTACTCTCCTGCGTATCAGGCGAGTCCCTACTGTAATTCCGAAATTTCACCATGGTCCAAAATCGGTCATGATTATAAAGGAATGGCAGATGCCTATGAGATGTTAAACAATTAGTATTTTAAATAATGTCAGCTAAATTTGCAGAGACTTACCTGAAGACAGGAGCACAAATTACAAATATATTACAAAATTTAAGTTAAATTCTATGTCAAATTTCAAAAGTAACGAGTTACAATTATAGATATTAGTTGTATCAGCGTCAGAATCGTTTTGATGTAAAAACATTATTTGTGAGAACCCGAAGGTGAAGCATTAATAAATAAATATCTCAAGTAATAAAAGCAATAAAATGTTACTAGGAATCATGTAGTTATTAACGCATGAGATTTAACTTGTTCAGAATATTTACATATGCATAATTGAGACATTCAGTATCTTCTGTAAGCTATTTTTTTGTAATTGATAAATAACATTTCGAATTAAACATTTATTTAAATCTCTCGGTATCTAGGACATTTGCATTCGTCCAATCAAATTTGTGATCGTGATGCAATCTATGATCTGTGAGGAAGCGTGTCTTAGGAGGAAATGTTTCTATTTATATGACTTCTGTGTTTTGAAATCCTGATTCTTAATTCCCTACCCGTTTGTCTTACATAAGTTGCATCACAATTCCTACATGAGACTTGATAAAAAAATTTTTTTTTATTTATTTGAAAGAAAAATTTATTATTTTATATTCAATTTTAGAAATCCAATATTTATTTCTTGTTTATTTTTTGGAAATATTACAAGGTCCATCGATGATTGTCATTATTTAAATTTGCAGTGAATCAAATTTATTGGAATTATAATTTAAAGAAATATGTTTATTAATGATTTTTCGTTCTATGCAAAAAATAATTCAAATTTTTCTTATAAGGAAGAAGAAATATGTTTTGTTTTTATGATAAAATTCGTTTTCATAACTTGAATCTTTTCATTTCGTCTTCTGTTTTAACTCATTGCAGAAGTCCATCATAATTGTATCACAATTTGATATGCTATGAATTTTATTAGAAAAAAGATGTGTCATTGATTGTGACCGCCGAAGTCTATTACGCAATTGTGAACGACTTTGTGCGCCTGCTAGAATGAAGGATTGTCATACTGATCTATATGGGTGATGCAATACCCTATATAGTAAACCACTTTATTTTTTCTCTCGAACCATGATTAATATCACGAAACAGTTCTGGAATTCCCTTATATTAATCTTCGTTATATTTTTGGAAATGAATTTTAACTGGAAATCGTTTTGTATTTATGTATTAATAATGAAAATAAGATTCTTTTTGATGAAATTCTTGATGATGGAAGCAACAAAGCTTTATCCACTAAACTAAATTGTGCCTCTTTTTTTGTGAAGTAGGATGTTGGGACCAAAAATTTTAAAATTCCGTCAGTAAGTTTTTTTTTTTTAATTTGATAACGATCTTTTTTCATCTCTTATCAATTTAAGGAATAAATGGCAGGCAGACGTATTATTAATGTATATATCACAACAATTTGGTGTGTGTGTGTGTGTGTGTGTGTGTGTGTTTTGTGTGTGCATACGTGCATGCATGCGTGTGTATATATAGATATAATGCATGTGCATGCAGAGATACGTATTCCGTAATTCTTTTACGTAATTAAATTACCCTTATTGTTACTCTCAATGAAATTATCGTTATGAAGTTATTGTTTGCATTCTTCTTAATTTTTTCAATATCTACATTTATGAAATGTAGCATAAAAGTTGAATATTTGAAAGTATGTATATATATAAAGTATATATATATATATAAATTTTGCTTTTTATGATTTCAGTTGATCCTGCATGCTGAGCACTGTGTACCGACGTCTATCCGCAACACCTCTGCACCGTACTTTTTTATTATTTTTGCCAAATATATTGCATTCATATTAGAAATAAAAATATGGCTGCCTATATCAATCGTGCAATGATACAATCGTCCATGATTGGAGGGGATAGCCAACTTCGATCAGATGTTAGAAATGATAATTCTCCTCTACAGATCTTTGTTAAGGCAAAGAAAAGGATAAATGATATATTTATGGATATAGAAAAATATGTGGAGGAAACTGTGGAGTTTATGACATGTAAGTAAACAAATAGAGCAAGTATCATAATGTATTTATTTACGAGGGGCATCTCAAAGATAACTTTCCCTATCGTAGGGAAAAAATCCGTTATGCAAATAATTTGTGCATTATAAAAATTTTTCACTGGAGTATTTAAATATTTTTTTCACTTAGAGTCATTTTTATTGCAATTATCGTTAGTTGAATAAATTTTAATCAATGAAGTGCTAATATAAAACGTGTTTAACTGAATTATATTTCGGTTTTTTATCACAAAAAACGAAAAAGCAATAAATATTCATTGTTAACTAATTTTTATGTATAGAAATCATGCATGTGCAAATAGTTCGACGATGGCAATTTATTAATTCAGTCACTTGGAAATTAAGCGAGGTTTCGAAACAATAGGCCGTGTACATCAGATTTTTGTCATCCATCATACTCTTTAAATTTTGCACCGAGTTATTTTTACTTGGTTCATGAACTTAAAAAATATTTTTATGGCAAAAATTTTGACAGCGATGATGTCAAGGTTGAAATGAAATCATGGTTCCGATCTAAGAATGCATATTTTTTTTATATCACTGGCATAAAAAAACTGATATTACGTTACGATAAGTGCTTAAATGTTAATAGTGACTACATTGAAAAATAACTTAATTATCAAGTTCATAAAATAAAGGTTTTTATAATTATCCTGTTTTTCATTTTATTTTCCTACGATAGGGAAATTTATACTTTTGGGATGATCCTCATATTTGTTGAATTGTCAATTAATTTATCCAACTTTTTAACAGCATTCCAAAATGATCAGAATATTGTAACTGTAGAAGAGGCAATAAAAGTTAAAGCTTACATAGATAAAATACGAGCAATAAAAGATGTTCTTAAAAGAGATCACATGAAAGTTGCTTTTTTTGGCAGGTGAGTAACTATATTAAATGATTTAAGGGGATGCTGGAGCGAAGGCCGAAGTTGATCAAGGTCGATATTACAGCTTTTCATTTCCAATGTATAAGCTGCTTACGCCCTCTGAGTTAATATGATCATGCAGGAAATTCGATCGATTAATTATCGATATTTTTATTCCGTATCCTACATTACCATCTTAACAGGGACGTGTATTAGGGTTGGTTCCACAATGTAGATTTATTTTGGAAAATTTTCCAATTTTAGAATTGAAAAAAAAATAAACATAATTGAAGTTAATCTTATATTTGTAGAATCGGACCTTAGAAATTTAGTTGCATTATATACATATTTAGTTGTATTATATACACATGCAATGTAGGCCATGTTCTAATATATATCACCAGTACTAAAAGTCTGTAATATACATAAAATACAGATTTTTAATTAATAGATATATCGATACGAAGCCGTAATAGCACTTTTTTCTTACATCCAATGCCATTTTAGGTTACGATAATATATTATCATAAATGAATATCATAATATACGAGTATATATATATATATATATATATATATTTGAATATTCACACAGATATTCTCTCTGTCTATTTTTATGAAATATTAAAA